GTGCTGAACAATGAATTTAAGGTATAATTTTTTCCATCAGCCCCCCTACTCTTTCAACTTTAAACATTTGTCTATTTTACTTTTAATTTCTGTAATTTAATCATCAATCTACTTTTTCATAAAAAAGTAAATTTTAACTAATTATATTATTAACTGATTTAGGTTAAACTCCGTTATTTATTATAATTGATTTTTGGTTTTGAAATTTAAAAATAGAGGAACTAAATTTTAAAATATCGAAGAATACAAGGATTGGGGATGAATTAAACTATATAACAAAAATCAAATTAATTTATATTGTTTGATTTAGTTTCATTTCGGTTTAATTTTAAATGAAATTTATTTTTTTTTAAATAAAATAATTCTAAAGCTTTATAGTTAATAAAATGAATGGATTTATGGAAAACAAAAATCTATTTAATAATAGTAATAATAATATAATTAATTTATATAACAAGTGACAAAGGCAGAGTCCTTGGTCGGCAAATAACACAAAAATCTTCAGTGTTAAAATCTCTCTTTCTCCTCTTCACCATCTCTTCACTTTTCCCTTAACTAAAAGCACCCCTTTTCACTTCCTTCCTTCTCTGAATTCATGGATTATGTCATGTTGTTTTGGCCTTAAGAAAAGGGTTTTGTTTTTTGCAATTTTCTTCATTCATCATATTCTGGGTTTCCTTTCTTTTGCTGGAAAAATCTCTCCTTTTGTTCAAAGGGTAAGCCCTTTTTTCTCTTTTCTAACCCCCCTTCACCCCCCTTAAATTTCAATGGATTGTTCCTTTGTTTTTGTTTTTTTGTTAATATTGAAAAAAAAAATCTTGGTTTTATTCAATTGTAGCTAATTTATCTGTCTCAGTTGAATTCCTGTTACTTTCTTTACAATTTTTGTTGTTTTTTTGGTAGATTTGTGTGTATATATATATGTGTGTATATAAATTTTGTTGCTTTAAGTATTTACTGAGACATGCCTTGATTTTTCATGTACTAACAGGTAATCATCAAGTGGAAAGAGAAAAACTGAGTAAAGAAAGGTTTAGTTGTTTTTATCCCCGTAGAATTGGAAGAAAAAAGATGATAACTGTCATGGATTCTAGGAAAGAAGTAATAAAAAATTCCGAAAAATGCTTAGATCCTCAGCTATGGCATGCCTGTGCTGGTGGAATGGTACATATGCCATCAGTGAACTCCAAAGTGTTCTACTTCCCTCAAGGTCATGCCGAGCATGCCAATGGGAATGTGGATTTCGGGAATCTCCCGATTCCGTCGCTCATCTTATGTCGAGTTTCCGCTGTTAAGTTCATGGCGGATCTCGAAACCGATGAGGTTTATGCCAAGATCATGTTGGTTCCTTTGAGAGAGAATGATTTTGGGGTTGAGGATGATGTTTTTTGATGGGAATGTTGGGGAGATGGAGAGTCCCGAAAAATCGGCTTCCTTTGCTAAGACGTTGACTCAATCCGATGCTAACAACGGTGGGGGGTTCTCGGTCCCGCGTTATTGCGCGGAGACTATATTTCCCAGGTTGGATTATAATGCGGAACCTCCCGTTCAGACTATTCTTGCAAAGGATGTCCATGGTGAGGTTTGGAAGTTTAGGCATATATATAGGGGGACGCCTCGCCGGCATCTTTTGACGACGGGGTGGAGTAATTTTGTGAATCACAAGAAGCTTGTGGCTGGTGATTCGATTGTGTTTCTTAGAGCGGATAATGGAGATCTTTGTGTGGGAATTCGTAGGGTGAAGAGAGGACTAGGGAGTGGGCATGAGTATCAATCTGGTTGGAATTCGGGGAGTGGAAGCTCCATTTCACAAATCGGGGGTTATTCTCCATTCTTGAGGGAGGGGGAGAGTAACTTTATGCGGAAGGACTGTTATGGGGATACGAGGGGAAGAGTAAGGGCTGAATCGGTGATTGAAGCTGCCACTCGTGCTGCAAGCGGGCAGTCCTTTGAGGTTGTTTACTATCCACGATCAAGCACTCCCGAGTTCTGTGTGAAGGCCTCGTCGGTTAGAGCTGCAATGCAGATCCAGTGGTATCCCGGGATGAGGTTCAAAATGGCTTTTGAAACCGAGGACTCTTCACGGATTAGCTGGTTCATGGGAATGATATCTACTGCTCAGGTTGTCGATCCCATTCATTGGCCTAACTCTCCTTGGCGTCTTCTGCAGGTATTTTACTTTTACTCCATCGATTGCCATTGAATAATTAGCATCCATATGTTCTAAGCATTGATAGTCGGCCCAAGGATTTGTTCCATATTTTCTAAGTTAATAGTCAGCTCGTGTATTTGTTCGATTTAACGTCTTTTAGGTAGCATGGGATGAGCCCGATTTACTCCACAATGTTAAGCGAGTTAGCCCGTGGTTGGTTGAATTGGTCACAAACATACCAGCAATCCATCTCAACAATCCTTTCTCACCACCGAGGAAAAAGATGCGGCTTCCACAGCACCCGGACATGCCCTTACCTTACCAAATTCCGATGCCATCTTTTTCCAGCAACTCTTTCAGGTCCAGCAGCCCCGTGTGTTGCATTACAGACAACATTCCTGGAGGCATACAGGGAGCCAGGCACGAACCGTTCGGAATGTCTTCATCAGATCTCCGCTCCAACAAGCTGCATCCAGGTCTGTTTCCACCTGGTTTTCATCAATTTGATCGTGGTACTCCACCTACCAGGCTCTCCGGTGACAACTTTAGCAGCGACAACGGAAACAATAGGAATATATCTTCCTTGTCAACAATAGGAAATCCGACCCGGAGTTTGAAACGAAGCAATGAAACAAAGACACCCCATATCTTATTGTTCGGCCAACTCATTTTCAGTGAGCATCAGGCTTCTCAGAGCTGCTCAGCTGATAATGTCGGAAACAGTTCGTCAGATGGGAATACAGAGAAAACTGTGATCTCCTCTGATGGAACTGGATCCGCCTTACATCAAAATGCTCGGGAGAATTCTTCCGATGAAGGGTCTCCTTGGCACACAGAGCATCAAAAAACTGAGCTCGGTTTGGAGGCTGGTCATTGCAAGGTGTTCATGGAATCAGATAATGTAGGAAGAACCCTCGATCTTTCAGTTCTCGGATCATACGAAGAGCTGTATGGGAAGCTGGCTAACATGTTCGGCGTAGAAAGTTCAGAGATGCTGAGCAGCGTGCTCTACCACGATGTTTCTGGTTCCGTTAAACACACCGGAGATGAGCCCTTCAGGTACACTACAGGTTCCTTAGCATCAATTCCTTATTCTTTCTAAACATTTGCTTTCGGTTTATCTGCCGTATAATCACTTGCTTTCGGTTTATCTGCCGTATAATCACGTCTCTCCCAGCGAATTTATGAAGTCAGCAAGGAGGCTAAACATTCTTATGGATTCAAGCAGCGACAACATAGATAGATAGAGACTAGATAGAGACGAACGGACCCCCGAAAATTGTACAGTTTTTATTCCCATTTCATTTCTTCTCTGGTAGTTGTGAGAAAGCCCCATTTTCAACCGTTCTTATGGAACTAAAAACCACATTTTGTTGGTTTAACTTGAATTTTCTTTCGACATAAAAAGGATCGATGTCCATCGTCTTGTTCTTTTAATGGGAGTCCTAGAAACTGTACATTTTATGAAAGAAAAATGGTGCAGGCTGCCATTTTGCTCCTCACACAGCGGAGTAGGGCCACAGCATGCTTAATAATTTTCCCAAGTTAAGCCTTTGTTTGTCAATTTTATTATGGCATTTGCCTGACCTTTTGATAAGGTGTTCTTTGAATATTGCAAGAATCAGACAAAAAGATCGATGACAACCTGTTGTGTTAGGTCATGGGGTCTTGAATCTTTGTGTCTGATGCACAAAGATCACATCTTGAGATAGAAAAAGAGTTGTTTATTTTATATTCGAACTTTCGAATGTCGTCTTTTAAAGACGATTGTATGAACTGATCGAGCAAAACTCCGAAAACTTCGAGTTTTAGGTGCTTTATACATGTTTATTTGACAGGGAGAAGGACATTTGTATTGCCTAGGGTGGAATGTCTCATTAGCATCACGATGGATGAATATCGTTGATTGACTAACGATGTTCAAAAATGTTCAAAAATGTTTTTATTGCACAAGTGTCATTTATTACTCACAAGATTAATAATTAGAATACTTTCTCCATGGAAAGAGTAAACTTCAATCAAGAACAATAACTGATGAACATTGATATACAATGCTCGACACTTCCAGCAGATCTAACCTACCATACCGGCTTAAAATCGGAACTCTAGCATCTATGGAACACCAAAACAAGGCCTCGAGTTAAGAACCGTGAATTGATACCTTCTTCTGTTCTTCTCTATTCGATAGTCATTATTTTTCTCACCCTCTCAGCCTTCTCGTGATCATTTTCCGGTAATAGTTTATTTCCTAGCCCGGAAAATCGGTTACTTTCACTAGATTAACAACATTAAAGGATAAAGAGGTTCAACTGAGCTACTCTTATGGTTGCATAGAACTGTTCTTCGATAATGAAAGTATAGTCCGTACCAAATGAAAACATCGAGAACCGAACGACATGATTTAATAATTTATGTAGAAACTTTGGAACATATCTAGCTTCACTCGAACTCTCGTTGGTTACAAGATCTTGAATCATTACAAAGGAGAAAACCTGTCTCTTTTTCCTTTCCCGGCCTTTCGGTATGAAGAGGTACACAGAGGGTTCGGTTAATCAAACAAGGTTGGTGAAAATAGTTTGCTAATGGACCTGAAATCCATTTATACAGCTACAGGATAGTTATTTCGAACTAGAACACACGGATCACAAGTACTCAACCATAGTTATTTCGATCTAGAACACACGGATCATAAGTACTCAACCATAGTTACTTCGAACTAGAACAATACTCGGTCATAATCAGATAAAAGCCTTAGCCTTAACCTTAACCTTAACCAGGCTACAGAGCATTTCGGAATAACTATTAGGAAGTTTTCATGCATAGAAAAGCAGAGAACAATTGAAGTCACCTTCTCTGTCGAAGTGGTCCTTTTCTAGGAAGAAAATCAGCAACGGTATCGATGGTTAATATACCAGTCACATAACCTTTATTAAGACTAAATCTCCCATCGAAACCTCCGACTTTGAAACCTTCGGCTCCAATTAAGAACATGCCGTCAACCGAACCACCGATGACGGCGACCAAACAAGTTCTCCTGCAACCAGAAGGAATCGAGAATCCCATAAGCATTCCCACCAGTCTATTAACTCGTAGCACGAAATCCAATGGGAAGGAATATCCGGGAAAGAACGAGCTGCAGTGAGTTTCAGCCACTTCCCAACAGTCCTCTAACCGTGCCTCCCGGACAACAACCTCAGGAGACACGGCCGGGAACAGATCGGCAACTTGAGTAGCTCTACATGCTCCTATACCCAAAAAAAAAAACAAAAAACAAACAATGAACATCCAAATTTTAAACAAATATGGCCTCTAATCATATCAATTTCACTATCTGGAAAACAAGACACAAATAATCAAGCAATTGGCAAAGTCAATAAACAACAATCCTTTAATCGTGCTTCCCGGACAACAACCTTGGGAGCCACGGCCGGGAACAGATCGACAATTTAAGTAGCTCTACATGTTCCTATAGCAAAAAAACAAACAATGGACATCCAAATTTTCAACAAATATGGCCTCTAATCATATCAATTTCACTATCTGGAAAACAAGACACATATAATCAAGCAATTGGCAAAGTCAATAAAGAAACAACAATCCTCACGTGCCTCCCGGACAACAACCTCGGGAGCCATGGCATGGGAACAGATCGACAACTTAAGTAGCTCTACATGCTCTTATACCAAAAAAAAACAAACAATGAACATCCAGATTTTCAACAAATATTGCTTCTAATCATATCAATTTCACTATCCGGAAAACAAGACACATATAATCAAGCAATTGGCAAAGTCAATGCAGAAATAACAATCCTCTAACCATGACTCCCGGACAACAATATCGGGAGACACGGTCGGGAAGATATCGACAACTTGAGTAGCTCTACATGTTCCTATACCAAAAAACTATCAATGAACATCCAGATTTTCAACAAATATGACCTCTAATCATACCATTTTCACTATCTGGAAAACAAGACACATATAATCAAGCAATTGGCAAAGTCAATGCAGAAACAACAATCCTCTAACCGTGTCTTCCGGAAAACAAAGATATTGGGAGACGGCCGGGAACAGATCGACAACTTGAGTAGCTCCACATGCTCATATACCCCAAAAAAAACAAGCAATGAAATCCACATTTTCAACAAATATGTTCTCTAATCACAGCAATTTCACACGTATAATCAAGCAATTGGCAAAGTCAATGCAAAAACAACAAAATACCCAAATCCGATAACTTCATGCTCAACTAAGTTCACATGTTGACATATACCAAAAACCAATAAATACCCATTACAGACGAAATCTTTACCTAATCTGGGAAGTGATGAGTGATGAGAAAGCCTGGGGGGAGGAGGGGAAAAGGGTTGGGGCTGTTTGATTGAAAGAAGGGAAAGAGAGGATTTTGAGGAAGATGATGGGGGCACAGTGAGTAAGGGAACCGAGTTTAAGCTCCGCATTTCAAGGGGACTTGTGCCCTTTCAACTCACTTGTACGTATGTATGTCTGCTTAATCTATGTGGGATTTTGAAGACTGAACTACGGAGGAAGCAATGGATCTTGTGTAGAGAATCTTTGGACACAAATGTCGTTATACTTTGTGTGGTTTGGTGGACAAAATATCATCTTTTTATCTCACTTAAGCAAAGGTGGTGGACGAGCGAAGTTATACGGTGCGACAACTTTAATATATAATTAAAAAAATATTATCGATTTTATTATTATTTAAATAATAAAAATAGTAAAAAATTATTTAAATATTATTATTTTTACTTAAAATATTATTATTTTTACTTAAAATATTAATATTTTTTTAACATTTTCGGTAAAGTATCCAACAATAACAAAATCGATAGAAAAAATAACAAAATCGGTAGCGCTTTATCGGTTTTGTTAATAAAATCTGTAAAATACCCAATAATAACAAAACCGGTAGAAATAATAATATTTTCAGTAATTTTTTACCAGTTTTATTATTTAAATAATAACAAAACCGGTAGCATTTTTTTAACTGTATATTAAGGTTGTCGCACATGATCATTTCCCGTTGGACGCTAGAAATCGAATATTAATTTGGTTTAAAATTGTTTGGCTTGAGAAATGATTATTTTTTTTCAATATTCGATTGACGATTAATTCGGTTTAAAATCGTTTAATTAACTGAATTAACCAAAAATATTATATATTATATATATTGATTGCATATTTTAAACTAAAATACATTAAAAATTCAGATCCAATTATTTTTAACACATTAGACCCATTAAATTATTAAGACCTAAGTAAATTTAATCCAAATAAAAAATTGCATCTATTAAGGTTAAATTAATCTAACTAAAAAATATAAAATAATTTGGTTAATTCGATCACCATCCGAATTAACCAAACAAAGTTCGATTAGGTCTATATTTTCAAAAAACATATTTAGTTTGATTAACGGTTAAAGAAAAAAATTGATTAATTCGATTAATGATAATTCGATTCGATCGGTGGTCAAATTAACTCTTTGAAAGCGATTACTCAACGTTTTTTTATCAAGGTTGAGGTTTTAAGAAGGTTGATCTAAGATAAAAGAAAGGAATAATGACTAAAATATAAAAATATAGGGTAAAGTATACAATGGTCCCTTTGCTATAAAATATTATTTTGTAGTCTCTTGACAATTAAAAGTTATAAAATGGTCTCTTGACTATACGATATTGCTTTGTTGAGTCCTTTGACTATTAAAATTACAAAATAGTCACTCGACTATTCATATGTTCTAAATTCGTCATTTTTATTAAAATTTGACAACGTTTGAGCTGGACATTAACTTGTTGATTGAAATATGATAAAATCTGAACCCAAAATCTTAAAAGACTATGTAACTCAAACGATTATGAGATCATATTTTATTATATCTCAATCAACATGTTAACGTTGAGCTCAGACGATCGTCATTTTTTTAACGAAAAAGGAGGAGTTCGGAACATATGAATTGTCAAATGATCATTTTGTAACTTTTAAAAGTTAAGTGTCTCAATAAAGTAATGTCATATAGTTAAGGGATCATTGTGTAACTTTTAATAGCAGAAATTCAATAAAACAATGACCTATAGTTGAGAGACCATTTGCATACTTCATCAAAAAATATAGTATGGATTTTATTGAAAAAAAGAAAAAACTAACATGTTGCGTTGGACTATGATGACACATGTGTACAAGTCTTATCTTCGATTGTTCAATGACCGATTATTAAAAGTTTATATTTAATCATTTAAAAAATTAATATTCTTAATGTGATATCTAAGAATCTCATGATTAGAATTGTTGTTTTGAGTTGTCAATTCTTTTAATTGTTACCTTTTGAAGTACTCGAAATCTCAATATCAAAATTATCTTTAAATGTTGCACCGATATAAGTCTGATCAAGATCATGATTTGTTTTTAACATCTTAACATTTGCGATCATGAGATTCTCAAATTTTACATTGTTTAGATGAGTTCCCCCCCACATGTTTAAATAAAGGTTTTTAAGCATAAAGACATTCGGTAATTGAAGATAAGACTTATAGATGTATATTACAACCGTTCGACAGGCGCGTATTTGAGCATGAGCAAGAGGGACACTTACCCAGGGCCCCTCTTGCCCGGGACTCAAAATTATGGAAATAATAAATTATTTCTATTTTTTTGTTATTCAATTATTATTATTTTTTTAAAATTATACTAAAAGTTATATTTTAATTTTGTTTGTTATCCATCTTTAATAAATCAACAACGATGTTGATATGATATTTTTAAATTATTTTTCACTTTTCACTAAAGTTATACTTTTTTTGCTATTAAAGGTACACCCTGAACAATTGTTTAGGCCCCTATATTTTATAGGCCCTTAACTTTTCTATTATATTTTTTATTTTTATAATTTAACCCTTTAATTTTCTTTAATTTTAGATTTTTTTTATCTTTATAATTGAAGTCCCTAATTTTTGTAATCCTACTTTTTATCTTTATAATTGAGGCTCTATTTTTTTCAAATTTTTTTACATTTATAATTGATGATCCTAAGTTTTTCAATCCCACTTTATACCTTTACAATTGAGCTCTTGATTTTTTTCAATCTCACTTTTTTCCTTTATAATTGAGACCCCTATTTTTTTTTCAATCCCATTTTTTACTTATATAATTTAGGCCCCTAATTTTGTCAATCTCATTTTTAACTTTGAAATTGAGTCCCCTAATTTTTTTAATCTCACTTTTTACCTTTATAATTGAGGTCCCTCTGGGATTACGGGATTTGCACTCGTTCAATATTTTCATGCTAGGAAAACAGGTTTGGCGCCTAATTTGGTGTCCTGATAGCCTATTATCACGTGCATGTTGAGCAAAGTGTTTTCTAAATGGAGATATTCTAAATGCCAAGCTAAATGATAGAAGGTCCTTTGCATGGAAAGGCGATTTTAAGGTGCTATAATTGATGGCAAGGGCACTTTATTGGCGAATCGGCATTAATAGCAAGCTGAACTTGGTTACGGATAGTTGGGGGCGTTTTAAACATATAGGTCTAAAAAAACGCCGTTAAATCTCTGTTTTGCTATAGTGGGTGACGCTCACTGAGGATTACTCATTACTTCCGTCTGAGCAGTTTCGCCCATCCTTGTTCATGAAACCTGGGAGACCTATATGGATTGAGTCACAAGTTTGGGAATCTTCATGAGGGGTTATGCGGAGGTAATTCTTTCAACTACTATCGCCCCTTGCCTAGAGGAAGAAATAATTTAGGGTTTCCATGATTCTGGCATATACTCTATTTGGTCTGGCTATTGGAGGCTCCAATGTCCAACACATACAACGAACCGAGTTTTTTGTATCTCGAAAACTATTACTAAATTATCAGTTATCCCGAAGATACGTGTTTTTGCATGGCGATTGGCTCACAATGGGCTGCCTGTGGGTAAAAGATTGTGGGAGGCGGGTTTCAGTACTGGGGCCTGCCCCATGTGCTGTATTGTCGAGGAAACTATTGTTCATGAGTTTAAGGAGTGTTGGTACGCTAAACAAACATTTGAAGTGGCTGGTTTCAGTGGTATATCTTGCGCTTTGGATGGGGATTCAGGAATGTGTTGGCTTGAGGATTTGGCTCGAAAACTTCCTACGAAACGATTTGCTGAGTTTGTTATCCTTCTTTGGAATATTTGGAATGGGCGTAATGCGCAGGTACAGGGCCGTGGCTGGGAGGACGCAAACTGCGCGACCGCGCGGGCCACAAAAAATGGGGCCAAAAAAATATATAGTGGCGTTTTATCAATAAAACGCCACTATAGATAGACATATTGCGACGTTTTTTCAAAATACGCCACTATTATTACGGTTTTATTGATAAAACGCCATTATAGATGGATTTATTGCGGCGTTTGTCAAGAAAACGCCACTATTATTGCCCCGAAATCGAATATATCTAGAAAATAGGGGGCCCTTTATACGAATTTGTACAGGGCCCCCGAAAACCCTGCCACGGCCCTGCGCAGGTACATGTGGGTCAATTTCAGCCTTCATGACTTATTGCGTTGAATGCATAGGTCTTGCAAAAGGAGTTTATATCGGCCAGGAACCAGACTGCTCGGGGAGCAGTTCGCACCGACGCCGGTCCTCGGTAATAAAAGATTGCTGATGTGCAACATAGATGGTATCCTCCAGCACACGGAGTAGTTAAAATTAATGTGGATGGGGCTTTTGACCCCAGTTGTTGTACGTGATGAAGTTGGTTTACCTTTGGGTGGTATGGCAGTTTCGGCTCCTTCTCGTGGGGAGGCATGGCTCGCGGAAATACATGATGTCTTTGCTGGTTTGCGTTTTGCCATCGAGAATCACTGGACGAATGTGGTCTTTGAATCGGATTCTACTATAGTAGTTAACAAAATTCGGGATCAGGCTGAGGATTTATCTACTATAGGTTTTCGTCTGCAGGAAGCTCGATCTATTAACATAATTTTAAATTAACTATTCAAAGTATTATAATATACTTTTGTTTTATAAGGGTGTATATTTTACTTTCGCTCATGCCCTAAAATATCTGAGACGACTATGTATTTATTAGATAGTTTATTAAAAGCAATAACAAAAGCTTAATATAAAAATAAGTGTTCAAACTATGTCTCGAAAAATGTTTTAGTGCCTAAAAGATTTTTCGCTAAAAATAGGTGCATAATGTTTTTAATGTTATTCTTTTAGGTGCTCTGACGTTAATCGTCATTAAATATATCCGTTAAGTGAAACATGTCACGTTCTAGTAATTTTGAGATGTTTTTTAAGAAAATAAAAATATTTTTTTGTAAAAAAAAACCCAGCTCCCCCAATGCAGCAACACCATTTCTTACCCCACCTTTTTTTTTCCGGTTTCCCCTTCCCCTTCTATGACGGCCATTCGGCCGGCGATAACCATCACCACCACCATCATCGGCACCGTCGACCCTCGATCAAACTCCCTTTAATCTTTCGTCGTAACATATCACCGTTTGATGTAGAGAAGCATTCAAAGGTTCATCAGTTTTCAAGCCATTGTCACCGTTTTTATCAATTATGGCCTATTTCGACGTCCATAAGCCACATTGTCGCCATCATTCAAACTATCGTTCAATTACGATCAAAATCTAACCATTCAACAATGACGATGGTGGCTAGAGATGGCTGACAACGGTTGATAATGGGGTTGAAACGGGAGATTTTAATTTTTTAGGATTTTTTATATTTTGAGTAAAAAGTTAGGTTTTTTTGTAAATAAATTAATTTTTTTCTTTTTATAATTAAAAATAATATTTTTGTTATCAAAATGTTAAAAATTAAATGTTAGGCGCTATTATTAGCGAAAAATTCTTTAGACACTAAAATATTTTTCGAGGCATAGTTTAGGTACTTATTTTTTTGTATTAAGCCATAAAAATAATTTACAAAAAATATTTATTTTTCTTGCTCTTATAATTTATTTTTTTCGATACTTATTATTAGAGACCTAATTTTTATATTCGTCCCGGACCACTAAAATATCAGAAACAATCTTGTCGTTCGACATGAAAAAAATGTGTATTTGACTTGTATTACACACATTTCTCTTTTTTTAAAAAAAATCATATAACATTTTCATATTTTTGGTTCACTATTTTATTTGGAAGTTCTACAGTGCGACATTATAATATAAGGCTAAAATATTATTATTTTTACTTAAAATATTATTTTTTAATATTTTCGGTCATTTTTAGCGCCTAATAATGTTTTCGATTTTTTTTCTTTCAAAAATCCAGTTAAAACGTCCAATAATAATAAAACCGATCATTTTTAACGTCTAATAATATTTCCGATAACATATTTTTTTAGCTATACTTTAAGGCTATCTCACGTGAGCATTTCTCCTTTTATTTTCTTCCACCTTGACCCAAGCTTTGTAAGCTAGGTTTGTTTTGTTGCCATGTAAGCAGAAGGTGTTAATTTTTTTTTATCAATAGTGTCTTTTGAAAATCACGTCTAAGTAGCTGTGAACATAAGTCGGGTCGGGTCAGATTTTCGATCCATCTGATCTGATTTAAAAATTATAAATCTTCAACCGATATGCCGAAAAATTTACACCTTCACACGACTTGATTTTTTGAGATAAAATCTGAATCCGACCCAACCCAAAATAATATATTTATAAAAGATATTATTTTTTATTCAATAAAAATAGAGATTTAATTGAAAGAAAATAATATATATATGGATATTATTACAATTATCTCTAAATATATAAGTTAAAATTATATTTTTTTCGGGTTAAGTTAGGTCAGGTATTTTCACCTTAAAACTAAACCCGACCCGAAAATAACCTTTAAAAAGCTCGACCCAACTTGAACATTATTTTTTAAAATAAACAATCGACCCCATCCGATCGAGTCAAGTTAGAACACATTGAGTTCGGATCCTATGCCCATCCCTACGTTTGAGTGGCGTGTCTTTACTAAAAGGAAACCAATTCAAGAATTAGTTTAGGCTTAATATACTTTTAGGTATCTAAATTATACTTTAAATTGATTTTTGGTGTTTAAATTGTTTTTTGTTAAAAATAGGTGCCTAATATTTTTTTCGTTACACTTTTAGGTGTCTACCATTAAAAACCCATTAACTGACATGTGTCACGTATTTTTAGATAAAATATTATTTAAAAACATTATTTTTTTAAAAAAAAATATGAACACAACACGTGTCATTTAATGAATATTTTAACGGTATGCACCTAAAAGTGTAACGAAAAAAACATTATGCACATTTTTTTAATGAAAAAAAATTAAAAATCAATTTAAGATATAATTTAGGTACCTACAAATGTACTAAACAATTAATTTATAACAAATATTAATTCGACAACTTTTTAGAATGACATTTAAATTTAAAAAAAAAACACTCATATATTTTTTCTTCATTTTCTAAGATTATATTTCGTTTCGTCCTATTAATTTTGTCATTTATTGACTTTAGTTAAAATTTTAAATTTTTGATTATGATTAATTCAAATATGGATAAATTTTGTTTTTAGTACCTACACTATTAATTTTGGTCTGTTTTAGTACTTAAACTTTTAATTTCTCAAAATCATACCTAACATTTAGGTTTTGTTTCATTTTGATACCTTCGTTCAAAATTTAAAATTAAGTTTTAAAAAAAATTTGAAAGTTTAGGTACTAATACGAACCTAAACTAATAGTTAAAGTATTAAACGCGTTAAGTTTTTAATGGTAGAGTACTAAAATGAAACAAAAACTATATGTTAGGTACGGTTTTGAAAAAAATTAAAGTTTATGTATTAAAACGGACCAAAATTAATAATTTAAATACCAAATACATAGTTTATCTTTTAAATATTTTAAACAATTAAATTTGATGCTCAATTTAGAGATTTTATTTATTAAAAATTATCTATTCGATACAACTAAAATAAAAACTATCCAACAATGAACAGATTTAGTGGGTCATGAGTATATAAAAAAATTAAATAAAGTATTATTTTTTTTAGAGATTTTGAGTTCGAGCAGATGATGAATATGTGTGTACTTTGTAAATTATCAAAAAAAGATTTTAAACAGATAATACTCGAATCGTTTCATCTCGAACCCGTAAATTCAAGCCCGGTTCATCAACGGTTCATATAAATTTAAAAAATCCACAAAGAGGTCAGTCATTTTCCAGAGAGGCAGCCGGAGAAACGGTTTAATTTCGGGTCACCACTCACCATCCCCCATTGAGAGATCCCGGCGGCCGGCGGGACCTCTCTTTCCGCCTTTTCCACCTCCACTTTCCGATAATCTTAGACAACCAAGAAAAGAAAAAACTACGGTAATATTTCAACCTTCTTCTAGTATCTTCTGGATCTTTCTCTAAAATTTAGTTAGGTTTAGGGTTTTAGTTTCTCTTTTTTTCCTTCCTTTTTTTGGAACTAGAAAGAGCTATGTCTGGGATACATCGGTCTTCGAGTGCGCCATTGAAGAACGGTCTTCCTCCTCAAGAGCTCCTTGATGATCTTTGCAGGTTTCAGTTTTCTTTTTGTTTATGTAGAATTTGGTGTTCGATTTCCAGTATTCTGTGTGTTTTTCGGTTGATTTTGACTGATGTGGGGTTTATAGAAGAAGTAGTTGAATTCAGTTGTTTAATTGTTGAGTGTGGTTTATTAGCACATGGATTTTTTATGTTCCTTGTTTGAAAATGTCTGTTTTGAAGATGTTTACTGAGAATGGATTTGTTATGCAAACTAAAACTGGTTTTATATTGCACATTTCGGTATCCGGGATTCTTAATTTGAAGTGCTCAAGCACTTTTTAGCAAAATAATGTCTATGGAATTATCTTTACAAATTAGTAGTTGGTAATCAAGAGTCATTCTAGCTATATACAAAATCTTTGATCAGTAAAACGATAATTAATTTGTAAAACTACATCGTCTATGGAATGGGTTCCTATTTCTTGAATCACGCCAAAGAGATTCAAAACTGTGAATATTGTGTGCTTTTGTTTAGAATATATACTTTGAGTAAGCAAGAGAAGATTGAAACAAAATAACTCCTTTTTTCCAAGCAGCTGTAGCCTTTAGATGTTAGATTGTGTTTGAGCCTTTAGGTACATCATCCCCCAAGTATAACACAATAGAAATTTATTTTCCTACTAATTATTCTTTGGCAAGCTGTATAACCAGTTTTTCACTGGATGTGTTCTCAGAACCAGCAAAATGCACCGAGGAAATTGGTTTTGTTTCTAGGAAGTCCATATCTTATGTTTCACTGATATAATCCAATTATTAGCTGATGCTCTGTTTGTATGATGCAACACTCTCTCTCTCACACACACACACACATTGCCTTTTTTCATCCCCCCTTTCTGATTTTTTCTAAAGTTATCACTTATAATTGTTGTGCAGTCGGTTTGTTTTAAATGTGCCGAAAGAGGACCAACAGTCATTTGAGAGAATTCTCTTCCTTGTGGAGTATGCACACTGGTTCTATGAAGACAATACGGTGGAAAAAAATCCATCGCTTAAGTCACTGAATCTGAAGGAGTTCACCTCTTTATGTATCCTATATCTGATGCATTTTTACTGCTGTGTGACCTTGTTGCTACTTGCTAGCACCAGGGTCCACTAC